GATTATTTATGAAGTATTTAGAAATTTATTAATATTATAGGTTTTTTAATATATTAATATGTGGTGTATATTAATATATAATATTGATATGGAGTATAGAAGTTATTGTACTGATATTGTATTATTTGGTTTGATGAAGTGGTATTTGAAAATTTATCTTAGTATAATATTTAAGGAGGTTATATATTTTTATGCATTTTTTGTTATTATTTTTATTAGTATTTATTATTTATGTTTTTACTATTAGTAACATGTTTATTTACTTATTTATTTTATTTGCATTTATTATTTTTATTTATTAATTTATTTGCTTTATTTACATATTTATGTTTCTATTCTATTTTATCATATTTTATTTTCATTGATATATATTATATTTTTAGTACTTTAATTTTAATTTTATTTTATCATGGCATATTGTATTATTATTGATATCACTACTCTTCTTTAGTTTATTAATATTAATATTAATATTGATAATATTATCAATTACATTATTGATTTTCGTGGAAAAAACAGAGTTGCCCCCCTTGATTTTCAAACATTTTTCTCTTATTCATTCTTTTTGATTACAACCGCGTCTCTTCAAATTAGAAATTATAATTCTTATTTCCAACCTTATTTCAGTCTTAAATGCTAATCTGGGACTAAATTCAAATCCAAAATTAAACTACAATTCATTTAAATATTATAACAACAATCATAATCCAGTCCTAAAATAAAGTATCTTGCGATAAACAGAAATATTAAGCAATGTTAACCCAAAAAATGAGGAATGCAGAATGTATGAAACTTTGAGTTGTGCAATCAAGGTAAGATGTATAGTTCTTAATATATTAAATAGCTCTGTTATTTAACATTGAGCACTGTTTTTTCTTACACTATAATGCATATATATATATGTGTGTGTGTGTGTGTGTGTGTATACAAACACTTGCTTGTACATTTACCTATATTTATACATTTTGTTATATATATATATATATATATATATATATATCTGTTCCAACATGTTGTGTGCTACAAACTACAAACTATGTTGCAAAATGGATACAATATATATGAGGTCTGATCAAAAATTATTGTTACTGTTGCTTGTTTATGGCAGCAGTTTTGGGCCTAGGATAACATTCATCATGTCTGACAAGCACCATATTCCCCATATTTCACCCCTTGTGACTTTTTCCAAAGATCAAATCCCAGAATCTTTGAAAGAAACAAGATATCAAGGAAATCTAAGAGAATGTGAGGAGGCAGCCACTCACTATCCAAAAAAAAAAGGATTCCTGGATTGCTTCCATCAAATGACACTGTATAAAATGTGCATCTTCAGAAGGGGACTACTTTGAAGGAGATTAAATGCCGAAGTGTTATGTGTTGTCCTGATCCTTTTTGATCAGCCCTTGTATTTATAAAAACAAATTATTTTAAATAACTAGGTTGCTAGTTTTGATTTTTTTTTAATAAATTAATTACCCTGTAGGCTTTCTGTTGTGGGGAAAATATTTCCCTACAAGTTTGGACTCAGTCGCCAGACAAAAGATATAAAAATACTCCTACATCAAGAGGAGTAGCAGGATGAACGGTAGCAGCAGTAGCTTTTGCTGAAAACAGTCATTCACGGCCAAACATTCTCTTTCCTAGTTTCTATTCTACATTGTCCCCTGTATCAAAAGGTAATAAACTTGTTAAACCAATTCTGGTTTTCTACTGTTGTTTTTGATAATTCAGTTACCACACTCTCCTTTGAGGTATTGCACCACCCTCGCCACACTAGGGCCACAGCCTCACCACCTGCTGCTGTGATTTCCAAACCAAATAGATTTTTCCTGAAGTGTAGTTGCTAGCTCTGCACACAACCATTTTGAATTCAGTGTTATCAACCAATGCTAGTAAGCCTAGTCTGTCTTGCTATTTAACCCACAGATTGAATAAAAATTATATTCTAATGTTTAACTGAAGATGGAAAGTCTGTATCTTAGTAATATTTACTTTATTCTGCTCATATTACTAAATGATAGCTTATTTTTAAATACTATTGTTCACTCAATACATGACCCAATAGCTCTTCAAGACAGAGATTACTGAATGAGGTTGTTGTATGGGCTTCAGAAGAGGAAGTGCAGGTTATGAGGATATGAAGGATAGATAGCAGTTGACTCTAGATTTTAAGGTTAGAGATTAAGATTGTCGTGATTAGGGAAGCATCCTCTCAGGAGTCTGTTTGCAGAACAGACTCCTGAGAGTTACACTTAAATACTTTCTTCCCAAGAATTTACATTGTGGAAGAAAGTGTTTGAGTGGAACTTTCTCCTTACCAATGAAATATGAAGAGAATGAGGACTATTTGCCCCTGTGTGTGTAGCATAGCAGGTCCTAACTGTGAAGGAATGTAGCGCATCTGAACATTTGCCAAAGAAATAATGCTAGTGTAGCAAGAGGCTAGCAATGTGGGAAAGGGGTTGTAGAGTGGAAAATAATAAATCACCTACAAGGCCACCTAAACAGTTTTTTTTATGTCAAAGCTGAAAGAAAAGTGAAGGTTGGACATCTGTATCCCGGATATGGTACGAATATTCCATTTTTAATCATTTGTTTTTTTTGCTTTAACCTGATTCATTTGGGTCTTTGAATTCTTTGATTGTAACATTGGCCCTCATAGGGAGTCAGTCGAAATGGGTAAATAAAAATTTCTTGGGAGCATTGTTTATTTTACTTTCTTTTTTTTTTCTTTTTTTTTTATCAAAGTGAAGTGAAATTGAAAGGATGAATGATACAAGGGAGATAACCTGTTATTTTGATAGAAAATATTTATGTAATTTAAAATTGATCTTTTACTTGAAAGAATTATAAATAAATAAAAAGTCAAATGCTTAAATAACTGCTACTCTTGAACGAAAACTTTCAGACTTTTTATTTATAATTCTCTCCAGTTTTGTTGGAATTTTAGATTTGACACTGTGAGTTGAAATAATAATTTTTTTTCGTGTTAGTTACGGACAAACTAAAACGTTTTTAATTTTTTCTTACAAAATATTTAAATGTAAATTTTAAAAAGTTAATTAGGGTTTCCGTTTTTGAAAACAATTATTATTTCTGGTCACAGTGACTATTATTATTATACAAGAACAAGCCCACCGCAGTTTCTAAAAAGCATGACTTATTTTTAAATATAGCGCAACTAGATTTTAATGTACGTTAAATAAACTTACTAACTTCTACCTACACATGGTAATTGATAATTGATCTATGTGCCAACTAGTGCATGCTATTTTTGCGTTAATAATAAATGATGTGATAAGTATTGTGGTAGGTTGACAGTGTGAAAATCTGTCTTCTAAAAATATTCAGCTTGTCCACAAAAAAAAAAAAAAAAAAAAAAGGAAAGCAGCTTGTGGTGGAAGTCAACCATATGTCTCTCTCTCTGGACGAGTTAAATGAATAAGCTCCACCCTGTTTGTTGTCAGGGTTAGGGTTATAGTTGAATAAAGTTTCAAGTAAAGTTTCTACCTCCTTGGTTTTTCATTACACAGATGAAGTGTAAATTCAAAGCTTTTACATTCCAAAAATTGTTGAGATGTTTCACAAAAATTGTGTCTTTTTTTCTCATAATTTTCATTGAAATTCCACTAAAAAACATTTCCAACTACTTTTCTCTGTCTATTTGTACTTCTCCACTTAACACACTTTAAATGAAAATGTGAGTTTTTCAAAACTACTTATACAGCATAGGAAATTTTGAAACAAATATAAATTTCTTCATATGAAGAGGGTTTTCATAGGACAAGAAATAGACTAGACACAGGAAGATTTCAACTGGAACTGTTACTCCAACTGCTAATCAGACAATTACTTTTTGACATGTTGTCTTTAATTTATGCCTGGCACACAGATGTAGCAGTGAACACAAGTATGCACGTAAATATTTAACAGAAAAATGTTGGGCTCTTTTGACAATGACAATGCCCTCACTTACATCCAATCGTATGTGATGCACTTGATGGAATATTCCGTACCTACCTGTCACCCCTCCGAGATAATGCATTTTTATGCATAATCACCTCTTAACCAATCAGCATCTTAGTTTCAGCAAACTAGGTTTTTCATTGGCTGAGACCTTAAAACTGTAGCAAGTTTGAGCAAAAATACCTTTTCCCGCATACCACTTTTGGAGCCACTTCTGAGACCACAAACTCAATAAATAGAAGTGTTTCAATCCGATTCAAACAGTCAGAACTTCAACCCTGGAGAGATACTAAACAAATCCACGCTAGCCAAAACTTTGACCTAACTACACTTTATGCATGCTAATTCTTCTGACTCGACAAACAGCACTTCACTCTCACAGGAACATTAATTGCAACATACTAAAGAAAGTGAATTGACCCACTACTAAACAGTATTTGTAAATCTCAATCCAACATCAAGACTACAGCTAAAGGTACACAACTCTTACAAACTTTGAACAGTAACTTTAACAGACGCACACATACACACTAGTGACTGAACTCCCACAAAAGACATTTTGTAATACGATAAAACATCTTGTTTAATTTCATACACAAATCCTAACCACAAGCCTACACACATTGAAACTTCACCATAATCCTTCTACATATGTTATTACAACTGGTCATACTTGATCAGCAATATCTATCTTGATTGTGTATGTTCAATTGATATAAAATGAATGTTATTTGTTAAACCTTTAATCATATTGTCCTCATTTTTGATTCCTCCTGAATGATTTTACCTTCAATTTTCTTATTTTTATATTTCTTGGGGATGAATGTCTTGTGAACACCTACATTTCTAAGCCTTCTGATAACCTAACCTTCTGATACACAAAATACCTTCTGCCAATCTGCAAAACACTCCTTTACGTATCGGTGATCATTTCTTACCACATGATGCAAAAATGGCAAGGACTTTTTTGGCTACCTTATATTTTGTTATTTTATTTATCGTTATATTATTCTTATATTTATTTTATCATTTAGAGGAGCCTCTGTATGGTGACAATCTTCATAAAGCTATACGCCTGAAAGATCTGGCTGAAATAGAGTCGATACTTAAATCAGGGTAAGTTCAAACAATTCCTTTTAATTTCTCTAAGATACTTTTAACCCTATCAGCCCTTAAGAGATTTCATTCATTAGATCCTCAAATCACTTCTTCTGGCTATACCAATATGATAGTTCAGGTCTTAACATACACCTCTTTGTATACACTTGTAATAAACATTCAACATTTGCTGGATTTTTATACATATATTTATATAAAAAACAAAATAAAAGAGAAAGAGAAAATTATATTTAAATTTATGTAGATAGCTTGAAAAAGGAAAGAAAAATATTTATGTACTTTAGTGATAGCATGTGTGTTTGAACCAGGTGGTTGGGTTGAAATTAAGCAGTCGGTTTGCCTGGGAAAAGAATTCTCCTCCCACAGGAACTAATAGTCATGTCTTCTACTAACTGTATCTTGTAATGTATCTTAAACAGAGAACATGAGAGTGAATCCTTTACGTTTATACCCACTGATTATGATATCATCCAGCAGTTGAGCAAAATCCATTGGCAGGCAAGGGGTGTTAATCAAACACTAGTTCTGAAACATTGTTTTGGAAATCTACAGCTTTTGCAAAATTGAACCTTTCCAAAAAGGTGTAGATTTGTGGTGCCTCTGGTTGGTCAGGTGTTAATGCTGTGCATAGAGATACAGTGCTTCCTGAATATTGTTAGCATATTCAGGTGTTCCCAGACTGTAAAGGTGTGAAACTGGGGGCACATTTTGGCATTTACAATCATAAAGATTTGAACAGATCCTACAACTTGGTTTTTTTGGAGATTAAACTCTTTGCATTAAAAAAATCTTATTTTGATAACATGCTGTTTGGGGTTGTAGAGGATTTCATTTTTAGGTAACTTTGTTTAAAGCTTTCAGAAATTTATTGAAAAGTCAAAAGTTTTGTAAAATGAAACAATTTTTTTTACAAAGTTTTGTACACTTGAAATGTATCAAGAAGAAAACTTTAAAGATTCATTTCAGTTATAATTTATTTCGTGAATATCTGTATATTCATTTCTTCAATCAGAAATTTATTAGTAAGAGATTTACTAAGAGATTTCAGTCTGAAAGATGAATATATAGATATTCATAACATAAATTATAACCAAAATAAATCTTTAAGGTTTTCTTCTTGATTATTATTATTATTATTATAATGCACTGTAGTTTACATTGAACTCTCCCTGGATTAATATCCTCCTTGGAATTATCCCTACCAGTCCCAAATTGGTTATATATATATATATATATATATCTTCCTTGCTTGAACCAGCTTCTGGATGGAGCAGCTTCAGGATAGTAGTCATGGCTCGTGGGGGCACAGTCCTATGGGTAAGGGAAACTTGGAGAAGTTCCACCATGGAATATGTGATCAAACGGCACTATATCGAGTTTAATTCATTACCTCTTTGTCACTGAGTCCCATTGGTACAGTTATGGCATATCAACCTCAATGGGTTATTTAATGCTGACAAAATTTTTTATTGCTGGTAATATTATGTTTTGTCAAAAATCTGTTTTTAGTAATATTTTTCCTTCCAAATTGTATTGCTGGTAATAATTTTTTTAAAAAGTATTGCTGGTAATACTTAATAATTTTCTCATAGCTGGGACCCTAACAGGTGCTACCACCCTGGATCAGGGTGGACCTGGAAACACCAGCAATTAAGATGTGGTTCCACGCTCCTCAAAACCTCCTGATCAGAGGTCTTGCTGCTGGACGTAGTTTAACGTCTTACCCAGGATGATATTTTGTTTGTAGCTGGTCAACATATAAAATATGTTTTAATGATAGTGTCTATTATAATTTAATGGTATAAAATTTATTTGTTTTATTGTATTTTAATTCATATAAATTTTCTTATTCATTAATGATGCATAATCAGTACATGAAAGTAAATTATACTTCATCTCTTGTTTTGGTTCAAGTAAAATTTTTCTTTAATCTTTGTTAATTGATTTATTCTTTTTACTAACTCCTTGGTTCCGATTGGCTAATATTTGGAACCTGTTTGTGTATATTTTTGCCATTGGATAAGAATTCATTTTTTTATAGCAAAATTATTCTATTGACTTGAGTTGGGAATATGTTTCAAAAGATCACAACATATTTCAGGTTGGTCAAAGTGGATGTTCCTGATTATCATGGCATGAGTGGCCTTATGGCGGCTTCAAAAAGTGGACATACAGAGTAAGTCATTTTCTAGAGTCATTTTAAGAACTTCCAAGCACACAAACACACATGCTAGTATTGTTTCATCATTAGTGAGCAGGCACTAAATTGTCTGTAATGAAGCTCTTTGCTTCTATTGCAGGGTTTCCCAACAGGTGGGCATTTTAAATTGTTAGGTGGATGATGAGCAACTGAACAGAAAATGGTGGTCAATTGTTAATTTTGGTGGGTGATATAGGATTCTGAATATTAAAAAAAGTATTTCAACAGATACTATCCAAAAAAACATATTCAAAGTGGATATGTAAAAAATTTTTATAAAATAAATAGGAGGCTAAATGCGAATAATTGTGTAACAATAAAAGAAATAAATACTGTAATTCCCCATGTATAATACACCTACATCCATATTACGCACTCGAAAAATTGTGCTGAAAGTGTGGGAAAATGCTTCTACTCAAGCATAATATGCACCTCTTGTTTGGTAATCAAACCCTATAAATTGTACCTCTACAATTTCATTGCGGCCAGCCTTTACTACTCTTATTTAAAAAAATGGTTTTAAAGAGAATAATATTATTCTAATTTAGTTTTATGATAATTCTTATTTTATTTTATGGCAATTTTTTTAAAGATTTTTTGTAGCTGTTCATAATACACACTCTGATTCTGTGCATTATTTTTTAAAACATGGGGAATTACTCTATTTGTGCAAACAACAAATATTTTGGTATTTTCTATAGTTTTGAGAAGAGTGATTAATATTCAAATAGTACTTCAGATGAAATATTTTTTTATTTTTTTGGATAAATCAGATAAAGGAAGAACAACAAAAAATATTCACAGAATTTTTATTAGTTGCTAGCAATTTATATTCATTTTAATTTTATAATTATGAACAAAAATTGTTTAATTTTTTTAACATTTGCAACACAAACCCTGACCATGGAAACTAAATTATATATATGGCTTTCTATGGTCAAGTTTGCTTTCATTTGTTCTGTAATACAGTAGTAGTAGGAGAAGCCAACACTGCATAAGTCAGTGTTATTTCTTATCTCCCTTTCGTATTTTTTACTACATCATAAAGTCAGTTTATGAACCAGTAACAAACTTTTACCAAACAATTTTAGTATGCTTTTGAATATTTACTATACAGGTAGGCAGTGGAAAATTTTTCCATGTGAAAGTGGGCAATGACACAAAAAAGGTTGGGAACCTCTGATCTGTTGAGACACAAATTCATCCCAGACCACAAATGGAACTCATATACAAGCATCACTAAAGACACAAGAAAAATGGTCAGCTTCTTGTACCAATACAGAAATCACTCAACTTCTGACATTCTGTAGAAAAAGTATGATCAGACCAAAAATGGAACACTGCTGCCATATCTGAACTGGATATGCCCAATCTTCACTTTCCAGTCTTGATAGAGTTCAAAAGCATTTACATAGACTTGTGAATGATGTATTATTTTCCACCTTTCAGCCCCTCTCCCCACAGGCACAATGTCACAAGCCTGTTACTACCTTTATGGCAAACCTTCTGATGAGTATTATTCCTTAGTTCCACTAGTTCAGGCCTATACAGCTAAGTCCTACTTTGTTACATCCACAGAATTGAATCATCCTGATGTGGAAAGTTTATATTGAATCAATTGCTAGGCCTGCTGCTAAGATAGTTGGTTCCCTCTGTCATAATAGACAATTATTTTCATTTTGTAACAATTTGCAGTGTTGTGAGAAACTACCACTTTCACAACCTCTTCTATTTTTAATTTCCTTATCTCCTATACTAAATTTGTTATAGTTAATACATACATCTAGTTATTTGAAATATTTAGTATTTACTAATTTCACACCCTGAATTTGTTATGATGGATTCAGAGTAAATTCTACATTTTTGTATTCATTTATATTTTAGAATCCAGAGACTTTTATTATCTTACAATGCAAATATTGGATTCAAAGATGACTCAGGAAAAACACCGTAAGTAAATTTTTTGCTTTTTTTTCCTTTATCATCATCTTCATCAGTCCCATAAATGGATGCGGTTATAGGATTGTTGTGCCATTGAAAACTTGACCAGTTCCTTCCACTGTGTTATGCTAGACAATTTTTCTCACCAGAATCTATCTTACATATTTATAAGTCTATTATTCGTCTTTTCTTTGAATACTGCAGCTGCATATGGCTCCAGCACACCTGCTATATATTTAGAAAGTTTTGATTAAATCCAAAGAAGAATCAGCAAAATATTACAGGTGTCTCAGCTTCGGTCATTTTCCCACAGACAAAATGTAGCTTCCTTGTGTTTTTTCTATAAATACTTTCATCGTAATGAAACTTTCTGCTATGGCAGATTGGCAACAAGTTCTCATCAATTAACAGTTGAATTGGCTAGATGCAACTATAAGTTCTATGCTAACAGTTTCTTCTCTCACACTTCTTTCTTGTGGAACTCTCTTCCAGCTCCATGCTTTCCAGCCAACTTTGATCTTCAAAAATTTAAATGCCATGTCAATCATTATCTACTGTCTTCTTGATTACTCTTTTATTGGTCTTGCTCCTTAATAATGTTTCACTTTTTTCTTATTCTTTCACATTTAGTAACCACTAGTGTTTTATTGGCTTTAGTGACTTACTTGGGGTGAAATAATAAAAAAAAAATTGAAGGTTCATGTTGCTCACAAATATGTGACCCTTGATTCCATCAGAGAACCCCCCCCCCCACTGGTGATTGACTTCAGTCTAGGCAGCCCTTTGCTCAAGACAGCCATGTAATCACCACACTGGTAGCATCTCCATTGTGCTAGATGCCCATTGACCTTTTCCTTTTTATCCTGCTGGATATCTACTTACCCTTCTCACCAGAAAAGCCTGTTGGGGGAACTGGTTTAATTGCCAATGACTTGATCATGTGGCAGGTAGTATTGGGTTATATAGTACCAGTAGCTCATAGAATAACCTGATGTAATAACCTCACTCAAAGCATCTGTCCAGTAATATAGAATACAATGTGATTTTATAAACTTATCACTTACAGCTTGATCTCACCTTCTTATTAATGAGATATTCAGGTGTCATGGTAAAAGAAGATGTTAATCAATGCTGTAAGCAAACATGTCTCAATTTTAATAATAAAAATGGAATGTTTTATCAGTGATTAGGGGAGAACATGTTGCTAATACATTGTTTAATGTTCACCAATAGTGTTGCAGTTATAAAACTCCACAATATTGAAAAAAGAGATTATTTATGGTCACAGTGCTTATTGTAGAATGCCCCCTGATTTTTTACTTGATGTTTTTAATTGATTTTTTTTACTTGATTTTTTTAATTGATTTTTTACTTGATTTTTTTTTTACTTGATTTTTTACATATTATGTAAGTTTGGTTAGCCAAGTGAAATATACAATTCATATTTTAAAAGCAATAATTCAATGAAAAATTATTGATTTGTAACATAATTCTATCCCCTGTCATTAATTCAGAAAATAAAGAAAGAAAGAAACTTAAAAAGGAAGAAAGAAAAAAGAAGAAAGAATGAATGAAAGTTTGATACCTAAAAGATTATCGAAATTCAATGATGTAATATTTAATTAATAAAGTAATAATGAAAAAAAATTGTTAAAGTAAATTAAAAAATACATTATATGTCCTTGGCATTACTTCAAAGAAATAATGGACCATTTTGTTTTGATTATGAAGAAAGACAAGAAAATGATATCTCAGAGACACTATCTGGTTTTGAGAAAGGAAAAAAAACAATATAATAATAAGAAAGAAAGAAAGATAGAAAGGAAAAATAGAGGAGCTAATAATGCTTTAATGCATTTAATGTCTGCTTCAGTGAAGTGGAAAACTTTATTAATTTCAAATTTTTTCATTTGTACCCTCTTACTTCTTGAAATAGTGACCTGCATTCATTCTTATGATTGTTATTGCAATATTTTGTTAAAGTTGTTAAGCTCAAATATTTAAGGATACAGCAGAGTAATTTCCATGGGTATTTTATAATTGTTAAGTTAAGAATTTTAACTCAAAAGAAAGAAAACCGTTAGTTACAGCAAAAATGGCAGTGATTGCTCCAAAATGAATAAGGAAGTGAACTCAGCTGAAAATAGGATTTACACACATATGACAAGCAGATAGGAGTAAGTTATATAAACACCAAACTATGAGGAAAGACAACAGAATCCCTCACATCCTTGTTCAAAAAAGGATTTGAAAATGCATACCCTTGATTTGATTGATATTAATTGGATAGGGTCCAAAAGCAAATAAACAATTATTTTACATGCTTATCTACCTCATTGACTTCTGTTGAGATCATAAAACTCATACTGCAGTTTTTTTTTTTTTTTTTGTTTTTTTTTTTTTTTTTTAAGCATTTCACCCCAAGCAAGGCGGGGAGCCACTAGGACGCAAGGGGTTACAGAAAATAGGAAGATCAGATAGGAGTGATAGAAGAAAGGATGAGGGTAGTAGATAGATTAAGGCAACTGGAGATGTCGATTGACATTACACTTGAATAGCTGGAGATTATAACTCTCAGGGAAACAGGAGAAGGGAAGAGTTCCACAGGCGAGAGGTGCGAGACATGAAGCTATTAGAGTAGTAGAGACGGCTACATTTATGAGTTTCGACAGTGAAGGGGTGAGAGCGGGATGCCAGCCTCGTAGGGCGCTTGAACTCATGAAGTTTGGGAACCAGCGAATGCAGTTCCTCGGAGCAATTTCCATGAAAGTATTTGTAGAACAGACAGAGGGAGGCGACGGTGCGTCTGTGAGAAAGTGACTGTAGACGAGACGCCAGGGTAGGGCCAACCATATTACATATCCGCCTCTGGAGCCTATCAAGAACCCTGAGGCAAACAGAAGGGGCGCCAGACCATATATGGCAGCAATACTCCATGCAAGGGCGAATTGTGGATTTGTATATCTGGAGGATCGACTCAGGGGAAAAAACTTCCTAGCACGGCTCAGGGAGCCAACTTTCCTCGCAGTGGACGAGGCAATTGACTCGATGTATTTATTCCATCTCAGGTCAGCAGTCAACGTGAGACCGAGAAGCCGCAGAGAGTTGCTCTCGGGAAGTTGAGCGTCAGACATTATAATGGAGGGAAGGGAAGGCTCTCTGTGGTGATTAATAGAGAGCAGTTTAGTCTTCGAAGCGTTGAAGTTGACCAGCCAAATCTTGCCCCAGTTCACAATCGATTGGAGGTCCTTTTCGAGGCGCACGGCAAGGTGAGTTTTGTCAGCGAGACTGGATTTGTTTTTGAGGCAGGAATAAATTGTGGTGTCATCCGCGTAGATGCCGACTTGAGAAGTTACGGCGTCAGGAAGGTCATTTATATAGATAAGGAATAGAGGGGGCCTAGGATGGAGCCTTGAGGAACTCCTGCGTTCGTGGGTAGGAACTGGAGGAGAATCCGTTGTGAACGACCTTCAATTCACGGTTTGACAGGAATGATTGTATTACGTTATATAATTGACCCGTAATGCCATAACCCTGATCTTGCGGAGAAGGCCGGCGTGCCAAACCCTATCAAATGCTTTGGAGATATCTAGTGCCACGGCTCGGGCTTCCCCGTTATTTTGGAGAGTTCGGTAGACTGTTTCCGTGATGGCTGTGAGCACATCGGCTGTAGATCTGGCAAAGCGGAAACCATATTGCTTGTCTGAGAGCAGATTATTGGATGTGAGGTGGTTAACCACCCCGGTATTGATTAGAGCTTCGAAGATTTTGCCGAAGAGGGAAGGAGACTGATAGGACGGTAGTTGGAAGGGTCAGAGGGGTCGCCGGAGTTCTTGAAGACAGGAACAATCGAAGAGAACTTCCAGCAGTCAGGAAAACAAGATTCCTTGAGGCAGTAGTTGTATAGTTTCGAAAGGGCGGGCGCCAGTTCAGGCGCGCATTTCTTTAAGACAATGGCTGGTATCCCATCTCCACCACTCGCCTTGTTGAGATCTAAATTGGAGATAACGCCCAGTACCAAGGTTGGGGTTATGTTTAACCCACTCAATATGGCCTCAGTTCTAAGAGGAAAGTCAGGTATGGGTACACCAGAAGAGTCGAGCGTCGAGTTGGATGAAAATTTCCGAGCAAAGCATTCAGCCTTGTCGGTAGAGGAGGTCAAGACTTCGAACTGGTTGAATAGAGGAGGTATAGAGGGTTTGCACTTATTCAATACACTCTTGCAGAGACGCCAATAATCTTTGTAGCCAAATTTGCGAGATGCAATACGTTCCTTCATTCGAGCCGCAAATAGTGACTTAGCATCATTTAGGACACGCTTACAATCGTTACGGGCGGCGGCAAAGAGACGTCTATTGCAGTCAGACATGTCGCTACGGTATAGGTGGAAGTAGTGGTTCCTATGGGCGATGGCGGCTGAGCAAGCAGCCGAAAACCAGGGGCAGGAGCGCGTCTTAGCCCTATATTTCCTTGATGGGATGAAAGCGTCGATTCCAGCTTTAACCCAGGAAGAGACCTCAGAAGCACATTCTTGGACGGGGAGCTTAAAGACTCCATCCCAGGGGACATCGGGAGGAAATCACGGAACGCGTCCCAGTCAGCTCGTTGATAATAGAACGAAGTTCTAGTGGTAGGAGGTTCTTTATAGGGGAGGAGTTAAAGGAGATGTTAACCGATACTACTGCATGGTCAGAGTTACCAAGTGGGCATAGTTGCGAGGCGCTGCAGGATTCGGGGATGGAGGTAAAGCACAGGTCGAGTAGAGAGGCTTTACTTACCCGGTTGAGGGCAAAACGAGTGGGGAAGTTAACTATCTGTGTGAGGGAATGGGAGATTGAAAAATTAAGCGTTTGAATGCCTGCATGGTCAGTAGTAGCATTCTTAAGCCACAGAGTGTGATGGGCGTTAAAGTCTCCAAACACAAAAATGTGAGCAAACGGGTGGAGGGAGAAATCCTTGTCTATGTTGTCTGAAATGCTATCAAGTATCTCACAGTCTTGAGAGGATGGAGAGCGGTAAAGGAAGAAGAGATAGCTTACCGCATTGAGGAGAGAGAGACGGAGACACATGTATGACTGGTCAGGCGATTCAAAAGAGGACTCTCTGGCCAGGGGGAGATGTTCCTTGACGTAGACACCAAGACCGTGCATGTGGGTTAGAGAGTCTTTTCTGAGGAGAGGAAGATAGCCGGGGATCGAGAGATCAGAAGAGGGATAGATGAGACAAGGTTTGTCTCGCAGAGAGCCAGTACATCCGGGCCGTTTGCAGTGAGGAAAGATTCCAGACTGTAGAAGTTTGTTCTAATGCCCCGGATGTTGGAGAATGAAATGTTGAGGGGTTTAGGTGGTTTCTGAGATGCTGGTTTAGGGTAAATCTTTCGGTTTTTGTAACTCATGTTGGATTTATTTGCAAAGATGAGAAGGCCTGAGGTAAGAGAAAACAGACAGTTTCGACCGTGACGCGGGCAGAGAGGAGTTGGCAAAATCCGCATCATTATGTGGCCTCAGGGCTGCCCACCGGAGGTGACTGCAGGGACACCTTTCCACGCGCGACATGGCACTACAAACACCCCGGTATTATACAACTGTTGATCAGAGCAGCCGCTCAAGACGCTACGCAAGAGTTAGGGCTCCTAACTACCAGTCGGAAACAGCAACCAGAGAACTGTCAGCCGTGTACCCTCAGAATGAAGAGATGTTGCCACAGACTGCACGCATCACGGGAGAAACAGACCTGCACTAATACAGAGGCCGGAGAGAGAAGACAGTACCGGGAACCCCATCCTAGACAAGAAACAAGGTGTAAGCCTCTACTCATGTCCAATAGAAGGGGGAGGAGTGTAGACCGGGCGGTAGAAGGGACTACCTACTCCTATTACAGATAACACAAAAAAGGACGACACAAAAACAGAGGGACGGATTGGAGGGGGAGATAACAGGTAAGGAGTCCTGGTTCACAAATGGCTATACTTTATCACATTAAGTTTTAACTTAGTATAAGTCCCATTGTCTATTCTAAAAAGAAATTGAAAATACGGTTACCCGGATTTATTATCACATCCAGTAGAAGACATTCAATTTTCCATTTTTCTAGTTTTTTACTTTGTTAACATTTCGGATCGGGATTCCTTACTAAATTATCAAATAAGTAGCATCACTGGGACAAAATGCCTTTCGGTAGGGAGGGAGGGGGAGGGAAAAATAAAAAATTTAAAAAACGGAAAAAACGAAAAAAAAAAAAATAAAAAAAAAAAAAATGAAAAATGTAAATGCAGTCAGCTAGAGCGAAACGATACTCACATGGGCCAACAAGTGGGTAACTGCCTGCGTCGTCATGATGATGATGACTGAATATACGGCTTTACCTTGTGTCCAAGCGTCGACCTGGTGGGGGGGGGGGAGGAATCATCGGCCAATCCTCGGCCCCCACCAAGTACTGGGCTAGGGAGATATGCTTTCAATAAGATTTCAAAAGAGGAGATAGAATGGCGAAAAAACAATTCCACTTTCAGACAATATATCAAGCAAAAAGAAGGGAATTCGCTAATCATTCCAGTGGTTGTATATTATGGGCTATATCAGGTCTATATAGGGTTTTGAATTCACTATTGTTCTCCTATACTGGTTGCCAAACATGGCTGGAAAGACCAGTCTGTCCTGTTATTTAACCTTCTACTTGCTTGATAAGAGATGGATTCATACTATTTTCAAGGGTATTTGTGTGAAAGTGGGTGCAACAAACTTGACTGGAATTCACACTCCACTTGCTGATTTTCTCATCCAGAGTTGCTAACCAGTATACAACTTGCATATCCAATGATTTTACACATGAAAAATTTAGTCTCACAATCTTCTCAAATGTTACTAACATAACAAAATTAAAAAGAAAGTATTTTAAAAGCCTTTTTAAATTTTTGCAAGATGGCTGGTATAATCTTTTAAGGCATTGTGTTTTATGGCTCTCACTGAAAGCAAGCATCTAAACTGAGAAAAATCTTTTTTGATGCTGCTAAAACTTAAAGGTTATGCAGGTATTAACTCACCTATTTTTCTTCTTTTGCTCATTTTTATTCTATGGATAGGTTCAAACAAAAGGTGATATGTCCAAAGTTGTTTAACACGTCTAAATGTAAATAGCAGGAAATAAAAGCTGAAATTCTGAACACTTGACTCATATTCATCTTTTGATCTTAAACCCAAATGTTTTCAGGAAACAACAAAATCAAAGAAATTGGACTTGGCATTCCAATACTTTTGGAGGGGACTGCATATATATATATATATATATATATATATATATATATACACATATGTAAATTATCCAAAGTTCATGTTTATTTTCTAGTTATGTTTCTGTATTTTTTACTATCATGGTCATTGTCAAGAATGGGTGTTGTTGGTATTGTAAGCAAAATTTATTTGACTAAATTCTTGCATTTTAGAATGCTGGAATTAAAGTCAGAATTAGTTCAGAGTGATGTCATTTGTAATGGCTAAACCAAAAATCATGCATCGAATATCTATAGAAGCTCATTTTTAAATACCCACTTCAATATACGATCTCCAATGAAAAAAGATATTTTATTTAATGTTAGTTGTTTCTTTTGTATTATAATGGCTTCCAGAATTTTTAGTCTTTCTATCTATCTGTTCATATCTTTCTGTTCATATCTATCTATCTATCTATCTATCTATCTATCTATCTATCTATCTATTTCAGCACGTTCATATCTAGCTCAATACGTTCATATCTTTGTGTCTATCTATATTCTTCTTTTCATATGTATCTGTCTATTTATCTATATTATCCCAATGTATTCATATCTATCTATCTATCTATCTATCTTTCTATCTATCTATCTATCTCAGTTTGTTCATGTCTATCTATCTATATCTATCTCAATCTGTTCATATAGCTCTCATTAAAAGGGAGCATCTAAACCAAGAGAAGTCTTTTTTGATGCTGCTAAAACTTAATGATTATGCAGATATTAACTTACCTATTTTTTCTCCTTTTTGCCTGTTTTTATTCTACCCTAATGCATTATGTGTCAGATGTTAATCTTAAATCCTGGTTTTGTCTTTTTAGCTTGATGCAGGCCTGTATTCATGGACAACTCGAAGCTGTCAAAGTTTTACGAGAATATGAAGCTAGCTATACAGATTTTGACCGCGGTGGGTCTAGTCCACTTCACTATGCTGTAGACAGTTGTAATTCTGCCATGATTGAATGGATGGTGAAAAATGGAGCAGACATCAACTTAAGGGACCTTAATGCTGGCTGGACACCATTACTCCGATGTGGTGAGTGATTAGCAGTAATAGAGATTCTTTTGTTTGATTATTGTTTTGTTTCAAATCATTTCACCCTAAGAAAGGCAATGAAGCCAGTAAGATGCTTGGTATTACTGAATGTGCAAGAATATGAGAAAAAGTAAAAAGCTTTAAGGACAGAGAATTAAGAAAACAAAAGATAATGATTGACATTGCATTTAAATTTTTGAAGGTCAAAGTTGACTGGAAAGCAAGAAGCCAGAAGAGAGTTACACAAGTGAGAAGGGCAAGAGAAGAAACTATTAGCATAGAACTTATGGTTACATTTAGCAATTTCAGCTGTAAAATGATGAGACCTAACTGCCAATCTAGTACTGCACTTAAATTTGTAAAGTCTAGGTACAAATGGGAGAAACTCATCAGAACAATTACCATGAATATATTTACAGGGAAGCTACTTTATGATGGTGGAGAAGTGACTGAGGTCAAGATGCCAGGTCAGAACTGATAACATTACAGATACTTCTTTGGATTTTATCACAAATCTCTAAATACACAGCAAAAGCACCAAACCAGCAACATTCAAAGCAAGGATGATTGGTAGAGTTATAAATATATAAGATAGATTCCAGTTAGAATGATTGTCTTGCACAACACAGTGAATCAACTTTCCTAGCCTCAGACCTAGTAATTGATTCAATATAATCTTTTCACTCCATGTCAGTGGAAACCATTGGCCTGAGAAGGTGCAATTAATCACTGATAGTTAGCATCAGTCATGCAGATGGAAGATAAAAAATGTTCTCTAAGACAATTAAAAAGAGCAGTTTTGTTTTGGAGACATTAAAATTAACCAGGTTTTCTTGCTCTAGTTAACAACAGATTGTAGGTCATTATTAAAAAACTTGGGGTTCAAAATATTGTCTTGGGAAATCAACGAAAACCAGTAGGAAATATTTGTGTATATCTTTTTTATTGCGATAAATGTTATATTCAGTGGGTACACGTGTTTCAGTAGACACTCCCATTTTTTTTAGCAGTGAAATTAATATTTATTGGCCTAGAGTTTGAAAGTCTTATTAAAGAAAATGTCCCTTGATAGGAATTGAACTCATATGCCCTTTAGTACCTGGGAAACCACCTTCAGACTAAGTGTACAATTTACCAATAGGTTACACTAAAGCAAGACTTAACTACCATATTTAAAAAATGTGCATCTCTTGTTAGGACATTTGGAAGTCTATATCTGTTCACTCTTCTGTACCTGAAATGTAAACATTTCCTTCAGGACGTTGGCAATTATGGCCCTCCACAATTTCCTGTCCTTTGTAGTTTTTAATAAATTTTCTTTTTTATTATCTCTCCTAAACTTTGTTCCACTGTCCATTTAGGCAAGCTCACTAGGTATGTTATACTCCCTTTTTTCCTCTACCTCACTTGCTTTCAATCTGTCCTATGAGTATCAAATTTTCCAAGCCCTCTTTCCTCATTATGCACCCTAGAAATCTCCAATCTCTCTTCCTAATGTTAAGTATGTGTCTTTTTTGTTTCTTTTTTCTCTAAAACTTTGTTACTGCTCTTATGTACAGTCCATGGTCTTCTCAGCATCCTTCTGTAGAACCACATTTCTATTATTTAAATCTCCTTTTCCTCTGTGAGGAAATTGTCCAACATTCACTGCCATATAGGAGAACTGATATTATATATTTCTTTATTTACTACTACTATAAATTTTATATTTAGTCGGTACATGTGTTTGTGTAAATACCCATGATCATTAAACAGGGAAATCAGTATTTACTGGCCTAGATAATGAAAGCCTTATTAAAGAAAATGTGTCTCCTGAAAGAAATTGAACCTATATTTTTTTTATCTTTTTTTAACCAGTGTACTCTGTAATGAAGTTTTGTGTTACTGTCGACTTATTTCAGCCTCTACCCATGGAAACCGACAAGTAGCTCTCACTTTGCTTCGGTGTGGGGCTAATATCAATGCAAAAGACCATGATGGAAAGACCAGCTTAATGGTTGCTGTCATCAATGGTCATCAACAAATGTTGGAATTACTTCTGGAATACAATGTTGATCTTTCTGTGGTCAATGCGGTAAGAACATTAGGAAATAAAGGGATAATGATACAGTATTTCCTTGATTATCTGTAACTTGATTTTCCAAACTTCAATTATCCGGGCATGAAAAAAAGAGAAAAATTTAAACTATCCAAACATTTCTTACTTATTCAAACTGAAAAAATTTCATCTCGGAAAAGTTTTTTGTGTATTTTAAAGACTTTACTGAACGTTTAAAATTTCAATTCCAATCACTAAAGCAATGATTATGTTTAAGAAATGTTTAAATTGGTTGTGCTTTAACTAGAAGCTGCTCTTGCAAGTACATCCACTTTATGTTAAATCAGCTTCAGGAGTTAGTGGTAGAAAAACATGAGATCAGATATAGTGACAGACAAGAACTGATGAATTTTATTTTTATAAAGAAATAAATTAGACAAAAATTTTGAACAAAGCATTTGAAAATGTTATTCAATGATATGAACAATGGATTTCTTTTAGAAAATGACTTTTCTCTTCATTTAGGTATTTAGTTATCTAGAATTTGGAATTATCCAAATATGTTTTTTTCTGAACCCTTTCCCAGGGTGTCCAAATAATCAAGGAAGTACTGTATTTGGTTTGCCTAGAAGCAGACTTTCAGATTGTTCAAGTATTTAATACTTTGATGCTAATGAAAGACATTGTTTACTGCATTGGTTTTATGACATTGTCACCAGTAAAGCTTTTTGTCATTTTCTGTTTAAACTTAAACTCAGATGTGCAGATACAAATAAAAAATGGTTTTAAAAAAGTTGCACCATTTCTCTGAAGATATCAAAAAGGGAGTGTATTTGAATTAGTAAATGTACAACAATTCAGAAAAAGGGACCATTCCATTTTTTTTGCAAATAACTATCATATTTCTTGCCCAAATTCCTTTAAAATTGAACAATTTACACTTAAAATTAACCTACAGACAAAAAGATTTAGGATCACCCGGCATTTCTTGTAATCATATCTTCTAATCATATTTTGTTATCGCTCAGATGGTAAACTGAGAGCATCACACCTATTGTGCCAACTACATTTTCTACACAAACTGGATGTTGACTGCTCGATAACCCAAAGCAGACTGTGTAAATATGTTTTTGTGTATCGGCACCATGTATACATCTGCTTTAACCAAAACAAAATTAATAATATATTATGACCAGTCAGAGCTACTCCTGCTCAAAATATATATATATATATATATATATATATATATATATATACCTAAATTCAAATAGCTCTGATACAAATCAGAATTTGGTGTCAACATGACACACTGAGGGAGAGATGTGACACAGATCAGCACTTGATGTCACTACCGACAATAATGATGACCAGAATCAAGTGTCCATTTCATTTCTAATTTCACCACTCTCTTTCCTTGTTCCCTTAGCAACAGACAGAAGTTACCAGTCTTTATATATATATGTAAATAAATTATACATTTATTTACCCTTACTCAATGTCCTCTTTTGCCTGACGCTTGAATGTATGTTTGCTGAGGTGGAGAAGGAACTAACCATCACAATAGTAACAACAACAACAATAAGGTTCTGTCTTCCAGGTAACTCATTTCCACCTCTGCAAAAGTGTCAACATCTATCCCCTTTTGAGTCTTGCCAACATCCTACAATGTCTGAATGACGGCTTTTGATGCCTTTTATCCTTAACTCTTGCCATTTATAATGCTGGGTGATAATATGCTACACACTGAAGATTCACTTTTTTATACCAATACTTTGACACTGAGAATGCATGTGAAATGACCTAATATGTAAATGATTAAATAAATTTTAATTGTCAGGCAGGGCATGTCAGATTATTTACATGTATTGAATTGATAGACAATACAGGCAAAAAGTTTTTGGCTGCCATACATTTCTTTAAAAAACACCTTAAAATGAGATACTTTGTAGCTTTTTAAAGTAAAAGATAAAATTCCAGTAACTACATTATATTTGCTTTTATTATGACAAAAATAAGCAATTAACTATACAAAAATTATCATACAACAGCATCATATTTTGTTTTTGTTAATAAGTCACCAAAAGATTTTCCTGGTGCAGGATAATATAGGATCTCATCTTTCAAAACTTACCAATTAAAAACTGATGTAGTTAGACAATGAAGTCCTGCACTACTTTCTCTATTCCCCAGACATGTCCCCTACAAATTACCACATTTTCCTGGATTTCAGACCCCTGTACAAATTTAGTATAGGATATAAGAAAATTGAACATAAAATAGATTGTACTGGTGATAGTTTTGCCCAACACCGCAAGCTGCTACAAAACCAAAACATTAACCTAAACACTCTAGTCATTTTTTTAAATAACCTTGTCAGATTGAGACTTTCATATGGATGCCATGCATGGCACCAGAATCATTCAGAAATATCTAAACTGTTGGTTATATACAACCACTTTTTGAGATTGATGGTCAAAAATGGCTTTGAGTGAGTGTAGCATGTTGGCCTCAGCTGACCTTGTGGACTGGTGCTACAGAATCACAAAGAATTGTACCAAATAACAGAAACTTCATCCCTTGAGGACTTTCAAACAGCAGCCACAACTGTGATATAATAACAATACTTAGTAGAATCTTATCAAGCTTGATTAGCCTACTTTATCTTTTACAGTGAAAATGTTATATTTATTGTAATGGATAGTTACAAGTAAGAGGAGTGATGGGATGTTCTTATTTTATTACCACAAAAACTAAAATAGGTAGCACATGTAAATGAAAGAGAAAACAGCAACATAAGACATTTCACTCTATCACAAACAAAAAGGCAAAGATGGAAAACTGCATAAATACTAAAAAGAGCATTAACAGCGAATAGACTTGAGAAAACTATTTTCCTGAAAAATTGTTTTAAGAGAAAAGTTTTATAAATTTCAGCAACCAAAAAATCTAAATGTTTATAAGGAAATGGCTAATATTACCATTAGAATTAGCATACGTGCTTGCTTGTGTACAACAATTTAGACCAAGTTGAAAATGATGTCTGACAGTTTGTTGATTCCTATGACCCCATTTATTTTTGTTTAGATGGAGTAAATTTCCTTCTGGATTATTGGTAACATTGCATCAATTCTAACTGTGCATACTTTGAGGAATAAAGCTGTGTTTGAGCCAAGTTATCATACAGGACTGGCCAAAAGTTACTTTACCAATTCCCAATAATGATAAACCCAAATTTCTAAATAACATAACTTTTATTTAATTATCGTACAATTATAATTTGAATAAAACAATTACATTTCCTTTATTTTCATTAGTATTCACATTCTTTGGGCGTACACATTCTTTTTATCATCTGTCTGTTTTTAAATCATTTAGAAATTTGTGTTTATTATTAGTGGAAATGGTTAAAGCAAATTTGGCCATCCCTGTATATATATATATATATATATATATATATATATATGAAAAAGAATTTCAGATAGAGTATAGCTGTAAAAGAACAATACGGATAAAAACAGAAGGAAAACTTATATTAACCTTGACTTAGTTTTTTCATTTTGTCTTTATTCATATATATATATGAATGACATATATATATATATATATATATATATATATATATATATAAAAGAGAGAGTTGTTTTTACTCAAACCCTTACTTGCCACAATATTCAATGAGGCATCTTGTAATAGATTGATGCTTATTATAATAGCATATATTGACCTTCTCATTGTTATTTCACATAAGCTATATGACCTGAATTCTTATTATTTTCCAGATTGGACGAACAGCATATGGCATGGCTGTATCAATGGAGAAAAGAGTAAGTTTGTAATTTCTTGGAACAGAAACATGGATTCTTTTTAGTTGTTAATTATTAAGCAATAGTTAACCCGATCATGTGCTGGAGGAGTAAGTTAATATGAGTTGCCAGGATTTGGTGTATATTGCCCTAGACTGGGCAGGTGAGGCTGGTTGGTTGATTTTGCAACTTGTCAACTTCTGGTGGGTTATTTATTGTCAAATCTTGTACAGAGCTCACAGTGAGTCACAAATCAGTAGTAATTGTCAAACTAAAACTGGGACTCACACTGATTGTTGATTGGTTGATCAAATGCACTATTCAGTAATACTGAGCAATCAACCAGACCATCCTCACTAACAGGTAGCTCCTGCTGTCACACCTTAGATAGATAGGCAGGCAGATATGAACAGACTGAGATAGACTCAAATTTCTAAAAAAATACAAAAGAACCAACCAACATTAAATAAAATATCTTTTTCCATTGGAGATTGTATATTAAAGTGGATATAAAAAATAAGAATCTATAGATATTTGATGCATAATTTTCTGTATAACCGTTACAAATGTCATCATTTTGAATGAATTATGACTTTAATTTTAGCATTCTAAAATGCCAGAATGTCACATAAATCTTGCTTACAATACTGACAACACTCGTTCTTGACAATGACTGATAGTCAAAAATATAGGAATATAACTAGAAAATAAACATGAACTTTGTATAATTTATTCATAACATCAATCCCAATGTGCAACACCTCATTCAGAAATTGGGAAGATATAATATAAAGTTGAATAGACAGATCTTGCTGGTGGAATTTAATAAAACTTCTCTGAATGAGTTCTTGCAGCCTAAGTTTACCTACTATATATATATATATATATATATATATGTATGTATGTATAAAGGTAAAAGACAATAGGAAAACTGTATTATTAGCTGACGCGTTTTGTCCAATGTGGACTTTTTAAGGCAAAAATCTGTGTGTATGTTTTTGTTTTCCATGTCAACAAATATGAAAATTTCTCGGAGTTAACCTGTAGAAAAAGACAATATGTATAAAGGTCAAAGACAATAGGAAAACTTTATTATTAGCCAACACATTTCATCCAATATATATATATATATATATATATATATATATATATATATTTTACATCAATAAAAGTGAACATATTTCAGGTCCATTATTAACAAAAAAGAAACAATTCATAACAAAAAAAAAGGGGGGTAAAAAAATATATATATTAATACTGAAATATAATGATTAAAAACAGCAAAATTGGTTTATTGGTCTTCTCGATTCAAAACTAAAATTGAGGATGGAAAAAAAATTAAATGCTATATAACCCCAGACTAATGATATATGTGAACCAAAATTATAAGATTTAAAAGCTTTAAGTCCAACAACCACTCCTCCTATTTCTAGAGAGATGATTGGTAGGACTTAATATATACTAATTCTAAAACTGGTTCAGTTGTTTTTAATTGTTAGTATTATCAATTTATGACAATATATATTTTTTGTTACCCCACTTTTCTGTTATGAACGGCCTTTGTCTGCTTTCATTCATCTAATGAAATTGTGTACACTTGTGAAAATATTTCAATATATATATATATATATATATATATATATATATATATATATACTATCCCAGTGTGAGATGTGTGACAGACTTACTTTATGATGGTCAGCCTAATATATTTGTGAGTTTGTAGACAAGTAGTTGGTGACTGTTGGTTATTCCCTTTTATACTGTGCATGGACAAGGACTTAGTTGCTAGCAGCTGGCTGTTGTCTTTTCCATTATGTTTGCATGTGGATGCCAGTGTGTGTATGCATGTTTAGATCAAACTGGCCTCCAAAATTGTTTTTGAACCTCAAGGAGCATTATGTTTATATTTTTATATCTGTAAGGGAGATCCAAAATTTAATTTCATATAGAGATGTGAACTTTTTGAATACAAGGTTTTCATTTGATAGAAAATAATTTCACACAGGCTCATGAAAATCTTTTTCTTGAATTTGCAGGAGTGGTGAAGAGAGTTATTGTTATTTTCTAAATGGTCCAAAAATAACATGTGGTAGTTCTATAACTATATCCACAAGTATTTTGACAGTATTTGCCCTGGTAATTATTGTTTATCAAACAAACTTTCTGATAGGATTTTATTGGTTGAAATAAAAATATATATATATAGGATTTGATTCCTATATATATATATATATATATATATATATATATATATATATATATTTGAGAGAGAGAAAAGGCCACAAAAATTTTTGTTTATTATATGGATTTTTTCATAGTTTATTTCATATATTTTGCTACACACTTTTCAGATCTTGTGATCCTCCTCAGGTGAAGAATGGTTAGTTAAATATATTATTTAAAGGAATGAATGTTTTCTTTCTATGTTAAACCTTTGAACCATTGTCTTTTGTGTGTCTGGATGACTACTACTACACACATGTATGTATGTACTTATGTATGTATATATACATTGGATATCTTACATATTTTTCTATTTTTTTTCTATTTCAGAATATGGTGAAATTATTAGAAAATGCAATGGTTAAGAATGGCATCAGATACTACTAGCTGACAACAATGATGATATGAATTTTCTGGCATCATGAATATATATATATATATATATATATATATATGTATGTATATATATATATATATATATATATATATATATATATATATATATATATATAGAGCTGTTAAGACAAAGTGTTAAATTTAAATTTTTATCAAAGACACGTTTCACTAGAGAAAGCTTATGTTCCCTTTGGCATCATCAGTTTGACTAAAAGTAAGACAAAATTATGTGTTAGGAGAATGTCTTGGGATATCTGATGATAAGTTGGTATTGTAAATCACATTAATTATCCTAGCTTATCACTTCCTGACTTGAGACTTGAAGAGAGCCTGTCTGTTTCTGTGCTTGTTTGTTTTATCTAAATCTGTATTAGACCCTTCTGGCATTGTAGGATTTTAATTCAGGAACTTTATATTATTTTTTATACACACACACACACACACACACACACACACACACACACACACACACATACTCATATATATATATTTACATCCACATATATACATACATGCACACATACATGCATACATATATACACTCTTACATATGTGTGCCTATACATCCACCCAGGCATATATATGTATTAGAGCCCGTTTTATCCTCAGATATCCCAAGACATTTTCCTAACACATATTTTTGTCTTTCTTTTAGTCAAACTTATGATGCCAAAAAGAACATGCGTTCTCTGTCAAAACACGTCCTTGATAAAAATTTTCCACTTTGTCTCTTCATTTCAATTTTGTTTTGGATATTTTATATATCCTACAATCACATACACACAGGCATATGCATGTACACGCACACACACACACTTTATATATATATATATATATATATATATATATATATATATATATATATATATATATATATATATATGTATGTATGCTATGGATTTTGTTGACTGGAAAATTTCTACCAGAAAGTGTGTACAGGCATACACGTATACTTAATGCTTATATATTACAGATTTTCTCAAACTGTCATGCCTGAATGAAAAAGAACATTGTCTTAGTCAACACCCAGAAAAACATTGGAAGAGTATATGTCATCTCTTCATTAGAGAAAGGTTAAAGGGATTCATTTTGAGCTGATTTCTCAAGACATTAAAACTTCTGGTTGCTAATAATGTTACTAGCGCTACTATCACAGTCACCAGTCATATTTGTACTTCAAATCTTTATTAAAATAATGTTCCTATTATATTGTCACTTTTCTCAGTTTTATTTGAATTAATCTCTGTTACTAGTTGTATTAAACTCTGTTACAAATTGTACTAATCTCTCTTACTAACTGTACAAATTTCTGTTACTTATTCTACAAATCTCTGTTACTAATTGTACAAATCTGTGTTATAAATAAGAACTGATTCTCCATCTGTAACACACCATCTGTGTGTGACTTTGCATGTGCAAATGTATATCCATATGTCTGTGTTGTGTGTGAGTGATTTAAATGTGTTTGTGACATTTAATGTACACAGAAGGACACACAATTTTACTGAGGTTGAAATAAGACATTGGAATAATCCCTTTCCTTCTCCCAATTAATCTGGACAACCTACAGTAGTAAAAATTCTAAAGTTAGAAAACAAGAAAAAAAATTAATTTTTTAAACCATAAATACTCAGATAATAAAATAATAATAATTATTATTATTATTATTATTATTATTATTATTATTGAATGTTTTTGAGATAATTTAGTAGCAAACAGAATCCTTTTTTAAAACTTTATTTTCTTTGTAGAAATATTTAAATTAAATTAAAATTTTGAATTAAAGTATACATTCAAACATCCACAGAGAATTTAAAGGTAATGAAAATGGATATTGGAGCCAATATGGCTAAATGCCCTTTTTGACTGCTAACATCCCATGGTTAACAAGGTTGGGGTGGGGTTGACGGTATAAGCCAAAATGTGTGACTCTCAGAAATGATTTTTAAAACTCCTGTATTTAAATTGAATGTATTTTTTTAATAAATGTGGTATTTTCAATGGACAAACAATTTAGATTTGAAATTTGGTCATCTTGCCATCATCAAATAGATCAGTTATCAGAGTTGTGAGTGTGATCCTCATTGGGGGCTCCACACTTTCGTGCCACATCTAAGCTATGCTTCAAAAATCATTATCTTGTCAACAGCAAAGCAAAAAAATCTATCCATATTTAAAGTAAGTTTTTTTCTTTTAAATTTTAGGGAAATTTTTGGAAATTATTTGGTAATAAACAGAATTATTTTAAAATTTTTTTTTTTTTTTTTAAATTGTAGCAGTATTTCTAGGTTTGCCATTGAATTAAATTATACATATGCAAATGTACAGCCACACAGAATTTGAAATTGGTATCTGTGTCATGAGGGCTAAATTTCCTTTTTGTCTGGCAACAACACCTGAGCAACAGGAAAAGAGTAAATAATGTGAACAAAGGAAAGTAACAAACAAGATAGAGATGTTTGTTCTACTGCCACATGCTCCCCCATCCACAGCATCAAATATCAAATTTGAAAAGTGAAGAACACCACTAGAAGACCATCGATAGATGGAAACATCACATAATAAAGAACATCATACAAGTAAGAAAAATCATGCCGAGAATGTCAGCTATAAATCTGACCAATTGTACAACAATCATGATCTGTTAACTTACATTTTCTTGAGGTTTCTCATTGAAACAGAGGCAGATTGTAAAACAAACAAGAAAACACAAAAAATTTAATAATAGTAATCTAGAATAAGTTATTTACACTATTTATATTCAGGCTATTATCCTCATTTTTGTTGTTATCACATTTCAAACATTGTGCCATCCAGCCTTCCTCAGGTGTATATTGAACTGGGTAACCTACAGGTAATTTTGAACTGACCCCTTCATTTAATCTACTGTTCTTCTTCCACTGCTCATATCTAGGACTATCGCCTTGTTCTTATTTTTATTTAGTACTGCTGTTATTTCCTGCCCATTTCCACCAACTATCGATCTATAGGACAATTCACTTTAGTGAATTTGGAGCCTTAAACCTAACTTGCTTACTGATTAGAGGTGCTGCTGCTGCTGTCTGTGATGTTTTGATTACTGCTGCTGTGGTTGAAGACTTGCTGTCATTTGTCATAGAATAAGTTACTGCCTATCTCTACATCATGACATGTGGCTTTCTCACTCTACATCTTGATGGATGACTCATCACCTGCCTAACAGCCAGTTCATAACTGACTTCTGCTGTTATTATGCCTATATAAGCTCATGAATGGAATTAATGCTCTTCCAACCGAGTGGTACTTGATCTTGAAAGATTTCATTTATTTCTTTATTTCTTTCACTTCCCTTCCCCTTACATGTGTACAGCAAGTGGCCACTTTGAAGACCTTGTATCTAAACTTTACTGTTGCTCATCAAACACAAGACATTTCAGGCCCAGATCAAATCATTTAGAGCTCACTTTTATTATATCATAAGTGTCAAAGAAATAAAGAAATCCGTGACTGAACAAGAAAACGAGAAAATTCTGATTGAGGCTGTATTACTTGTCATAGGTGTTTGTTGAGGGACAAGGCTAAATTTCATAGGGAACTTTCATCTCTGTTGATGCCAGTACCATCTAAAAGGTTAGTGCCACAACCACAAGTTTTCTGGGAATAAAGGGTGCCATGGAGCACACAGCATGCAGCAGAGAATTCCATAATCTCAAACAACATAAAATTTTTAGTCTGAAATGTCAGGCTGCAGGTCACAGGGCCCTGTTGGTAAGTAAGAAGTTTGATTATTGATTATTTAACAATTAATATTGAGTTGAGAATATATTTGATGCATTTTTTCTCAAGTACATACCTACATAGATACATTCACTGTAACCTTGCTACACTATACAGGGTTGAATCTAGGCCATAAGAAGCCTCCCACATGTGTATATAAAAAAAGAAGATAGATCTTTGATGTTGTATGTAGAATATATATATATATGGACAGATTTTACACTCCCTCACTCCCACCAAAAGGAAAAATGAAAGAACGCTGGAAAAAACTAAATAAATTATTCATCAAATTTTTCTTGTCCCTCAAGATGTTTAAAAGAAACGCTGCTGCCTAAAATATATATATATATATATATATATATATATATATATATATGTGTATATATATATATATATATATATATATATATATATATATATATATATATATATGTGTGTGTGTGTGTGTATGTCTGTGTGTAAAAATAAAGATATGAATATAATATACCTGCAAAGATTATAAATAAAGAAAAGGAATAACCTTTTATGCCAATGCGTTTTGTTTCTTCTGAAACAATAGAAATATTAATTACTAACATATATTTTAAGCCAAAATTAATGTGTAAAAAAATAAAATAGTGCCACGTTTTCAAATTTTGATTTAGCGACCACTCTAAATTATTCTACAAATTTACTGTGTAAAGGTAAACTATGGAGGCCGTTAAGTGACGGAATCTTCTTGAAATCAATAACGCATATGAAAAAGTAAAGGAACAAAAAGTTGCAAAAAGTAACAAAACAATTTTTCAATGTGCAATGAATTTAACGGTAATATAGTATCATTCGAAAGCATCCACATTTTACGGATTACGTATTGCGATTAGGCCCTGCTATATATGAAGAATATGTAGCACCCAACTAGCGAAAATTTTAACTGCACTACTTGTTATAATTAGTTCTTCACACATAAAAAAAAACTTTATTAATAGACTAAAAAAACATGGATATGAAAGACAAATGCATAGCATTCTTGTACAATCACCGAACTTAAGCAACGTTGAGCCTGGTCACAAACTATATGGGTAACCACTTGGGAATACCAGGCACTATAAGTTTAGATGTATGGGTGGTGCAATGGATAACAGCTTTGAATGGGAAATCGGAGAGTCGTGTTCCAATTTGGGTTCGTTATATTCACTCATACGCAAATACCCTTGCGAAAGGCATGAATCCACCTCTTCTCCATCCAGCTATGA